CCCCTGTGTATATAGTCTGCCCTGCCCTGTGTCTTTCTGTCCCATGAGGGTCCATTGTCTTTTTCTGACTGTCTTTCTGGTTTCTATGTTCCATTTGTATTTTTTCGAGTTTATTTTTTCCCTAGATTTTCCTCCATCATTAAGTCATATTATTTTGGGAACTCCTGCATTTTGTGTCCCTCTTTTGTTTTCACCTCATGACAGACACAGGCATTTTAATGTAGTCAACTCAAGAATCCCTCTCAGCTCACACTCTGCAGCTGGTTGCAGGGTCTCTGTATTAGCTTATATCACACTTTTAGCGCAATGATCACCGGCTACTAAAAGTGAATTTCATCTGCATCAAACGCAGCCAAAAAAACAAACAGTAAATGTATTAACTCATGGGCGTATTGAGCTTTTGAGGGCACTAATTCTGATAACGTCAGATTATTTTGCAGAGTTTTCTGTTCCTTAGAATGCCAGAAATATTATTATACTTAAGTTGGCGTTTTAATTAGTTAAAGCTCTATACTACGTCTTCGGAGTGCCTTAAATCTTCTTTTATTTCTTGAACTATAATTCGAAATTGCCCCGTATTGTGAATTTTGTACTGCTGTGAGCACTGGCAACCTTATCCATTCATTATTAAGTATACTTTAGACTATCTCTAAGTAAAAACATATGCTATAGTTGCCTCTATGGTTTATATTAACTCAATTTGTACAATGAAAATAGCAAAAAGTTATACTACTATTAGCACCTTGCTGTTTATCTTTGCACTGCGGGTCAGAATACATTTTGCACTTAACACAAAAACAATCTCCTCAAGTCCTCTGTGGCGTAATTAAAAGACCCAAAAAACAAAACACTGTTCAGCCTGCGGAATTGTTTTTCTGTTGGTCCGTAGAGAAATGAAGTTTGTGTGCGTGCGGCCATGTGACAAATGGCCACGCAAAAGCTCTAATCAGAGCAGAATGAATGGTGTAATTTAGTGGCCAATCAGACGGATCAATGCAGAACCTATTAAGTCCAAACTAAGTCCCCTGTCGTGTGTATGAGTCATGTAAAGGAGACAGATAGACCAGGCCGGCCCCAGTCCTTGTGAGTGTCGGTGCTAAATGAGGTTAAGTGCTAACTTTAGAAAGCCCTGCGATGAATGGTTTCAACTTTCTGATTGCTCCATAATCTGTCTCTGCACAAACGTGTGTAACTGTGTGAGCACTCGGATCACTCACATGTCCAATTAGGCCTGAGACTGGTGTGGAACTGCTTCTATTCCAAACCGGCATACCAGAGGCATTAGATTAACATAACATCAGCTCCAGATTACACTAATAGGAGTTTTATAGTTGGATAGGAGCTTGTATGAGCATATTACACCGCACATTTCTCAACAAAGTTAATAGTGCTGAATAATGTATGTTTCCCTGAGCTTAATCTAGTTATTTTGGTGATAACTTGATTAGGATTTTGAAGTGAAGTTAACCATGTGTAATTATACTGTGAAATATTGTCTTGACAACCTATTTTCTGGTAATTATTCTTTATCAAACCACAATCAAAATATTATGAATGAGCAAACTCTCTCCTAAATGGTCCTAAACTATAGTTAAGTAGTTTTATGCTTTAACATTTTGTTCTGTAGCATGCACCGCAATACTGACATTTCTCCACTGTGGGACAAATTAAGGTTTTTGAAGCAGGTGGTTGAATGTAAAACCTGAAAATAAATACAAATTGCATTATTTCCATTTCATGACCTTTTGTTTTATTATTTTATAAAGGTATTTAGAGAGATTTTACCCGAAGTCCTACCTCTCGTTTTCCACAGGGTCACTCTATTTTTGTCTCGTGTTATGACCCACACGCTTTTTTCATTTGCAGCTCTTTAATTCCCGCCAAAATCCCCAGTGTTAGCGGCTACATGTAGCCGGCTTCATACAGACAAAGGGGACGCGAAATTTGGGCTGAACACAGTGATGATGATGAAATAGTAACCAACCATCTCCTTAAATAACTTATTAATTCTATCAATTTTATGCATTTTATAAATTTACTTTATTTCATTTTTATTTTATTTTATGCTTCTCCTTGATTTTACTGCATTTATTGAAGTCTGATTTGCTTTTTTCTGTGTTGTCTGTTGTATTTTCTTGTTTAGTAAATTGTTAGTAAATTGGATTTGCACAATACTCATAAAACGTTGCTCTCCTTCACACAGTCACTGCAGTATATTTTCCAGATCCACAAGATACATTTTCCTTAAAAACCGAACAAGCATTGATCATTTCATCTTTGGCACTCTTTCCCTTATTCCTCCACAATCCCAGCGCCTCGTCCGGAATATAGATTTTAATCGCGTCGCCTCAGAACTCCTTTTGAATTTTGCATGTGCCGTCTGGCCTGTATCTGGAATACAGTTGAGCTATTGGGACTGACAGGGAGACGGGCAGGCGATCCGTCACACAGTAATAATGCAGCGTGCAGGGAATTAGACTGCAAAACAACCGCGCCCCGGCCTTCTATTAGCGTCATTTATATGGTTTAGATCAAGTGAAGCTGTTTCGATGGAAAGCGGAAAGGCAGAAGATGTGAGCTCGAACATGGTATTTGCCTCTCATGTATATTTGCAGAGACCATGCCCTTTTCATAGTCTACATTTATGCTGCTCTCATTTTTGCTTTGATCCCTTTTTATAAATCATACTTGTCGACTACGTGTTCAAAATTCCATAGGGTACAAGGTAAGTTAACATATGAACGTTAGAGTCAGGCATCTTGTTTCTGTTTCTATTTAAAATAGCACAAACACTTGATCATTAAATCAATAATAAAAACAGCCACATAGCGTTTGAATTGTGCAAATATTGAAGTATTAGACAAAGAAAGAAACACAAAATCTTCAAAAACCATGTATTTGGTGTCTTGTGTTAGTGCACCCCTGTGTGTGCCTCCGAATGGTATCTCCCACTTGGGCTGATATTTGCTTTTACTCATCTTAATCATTATTGAGCTGGTCCCAACTTTTCCCCTTTTCATTGCGTTTGATTCTCCTTCACTTTCTCTCCCATTGCTCAAGATGATTTAATCTGTTCATTTTTAAATTCCCTTTCATGTCACCTTTCACCTGTTGTTTTCCTTAAGGCTTTTCAATAACCTTTTCTCTTTTTTCCAATATTCCCACTGCATAATAATACTTCTCCATCCCCCACGGCTCATTCATATATAGTGACTGTTTTATTACTTTCCTTGTTTTCGATTCCTGCTGTTTAGAGAGTTGCTTCGATGCACCTATGGGCAGAAATCTCACTTTTTGCCAAGTTACTTCCATCCATATATCATTTCCACTATAATCTTCAGTGGATTCTTGCTCCAGATTTCCCCAAGGCTCGCAGACCAGCGGTGCATGTGCTGGGAATGAGAATGACATGTCTATAGCTCAAGCCTCGCATTTATCTTGTCTGTAATCTCAGTCTCCTTAAGAAGATGAGGAATTTAAGGAGCGTTTTATTGATTCTTTCTCTCAGACCGTTTTTATGCCCGTGCCGAGTGAGCTCATGTGCAATCAGACTCCAGGATTATTGCTTTGGCCAGAGACTTTCTCCATGCCTGGCCTGCTATTTGCTTTGTTTTGGTGTTTGCCCTTTTTTTTGTTTTCACAGACTATGCAGTGTATGGATTAGGGTTGTAAGAGGTTTGTGTCAAATTTTATTAATGATTGTAATCTATTGTACTGCAAAGTAAATTTGTAAATCATCGAGATATCATAATGGGAATTAGTAAAGGTGAAGGTGTTTATCCCTGTGGGGCAATTCATCCTCTGCATTTGACCCATGCTGATGCCACTGGGGCCTCCAGTCAGAAGCAGTGGTCGCTGTACAGTGCCCAGTGATGCCGGCACAGTAGGATTTTAACTATTGTGCATGTGTTGAGTGGTAGCGAAAACTGAAGCACATGGAGGAAACAGGGAGAACATGCAAACTTCACTCAGAAAGGCCCTGTTCCGACGGGGACTCAAACCCAAGACCTTCTTGCGACGAGAAGCGAGAGTGCTAACACCACAGCCCCACACGTTTGAGCATCGAGTGTAGAGTAAAGTCTAGTTTTTGTGTCATGGCATGGAGTTTCTCATTGCTCATGAATGAAAGAATTTGTGTGAGTCGCCAAGAAAAAAGGAATCTTGTAATGCGCGAAATTAGGTCATAGCTTCTCCAAATTCCTGCGGGAGGCTGTGACATAGTGATGGTGAGTAAAGAAAAAAAGAAAAATTTGCATATCTTACCTTAGGTGCTGCAAAAGCTGTAAGAGGCTGGAGCACACCGGTACACACCAGCATGAACGCTGGGGTGTACTCTGGGGCACACACCAGTCTGCACACTGGGGTAGTCTTGCACAATATTTTTCCAATGTGGTTTTACTGCAAATGAATAATACATTCTTGAATCTTTTTTCTTCTTGGTTGTTTCTCACTGCATGCCAATCTAAATAAACGACAATAGTATGTTACAAACACCAACCACAGTATTGCCCATGCTACATTTTGTGAACCGTCACGTATCAGTGGATCTGCAATGAAGATGTGTTTTCATTCTTGTTCTTCAGAGAGATGGGGGACGTTGTTTGGCTCTGCAAACACAGAAATGCGCCGCGTCCTCCAAGACTAAATCCTGCCCAAACTTGGCCAAATCAACAGTGACAGAATCTGATCTTCCCAAGAGCTCCAAGACAAACAAGTGCAGAGCTATTGGAAATGCACAAGATTTCACTTCATTTTAACATTGTGCGATCATTATCTTTTATGGATTTTAGGCTGAATCTTGTATTGAGCAGTGCCCTCTCAACACAGTCCTTTTCCAGGTGGATTCAAAGCTCTTTTTACCTCCTTTTTCACATCGCACCATCATTCCTCCTCTCCATGCCATGAGTAGGCGTAAAACATTGGGAGGTGAGAAGTGTTGAGAGCGAGCGTGTGCCGGAAACCATGGAAACCTCATCCTAATTGGCCAATGGGCTGGCAGCATGATTGGCATCCGCTTTCCGAGAGGGCTGAGCGTGCCGATGGGCCGCCAGGTCAGACTGATCCAGATGATTCCTCAGATGTCAGCACGAGGGGTCACCGCAAGTTTAGTTTGACTCACAAAGTAAAGGCCGTTGTGTTTTATCTTTATGTCATGGCATGAGCAATGGGTCACTTTACATTCAATACATTTCAGATAACATCAATAACATTTCAGTCATGTGCAACTAGTATGAACTCATCCAATACTACTGTGTATGTGTGAAGGGCATATATACACTGTGTCCAGCTTAAAATACACTTGATATTTACCCTGTGGCATTAGCCAATTTAATATATTATATTATACTATTAATATAATATTATATTTAAGTTATTATTGTATACTAATACAAACTACCTACTTGTATGTATTGAAAATGCTCATTCTGTCTTTACTGGCACAATAACTGGGTATTATTCATTGATAAAGACAAGTTATCACAATTCTTTGACTGCTATAGGGTTTGAATACACTTGGTTGTGAATATGTTTTTTTACAGGACAGAGACCGATACATATTATGATGCTGATATATATAATGGAGACCAAGTTTCGGTTTTCTACTATCTAGTAATGTCATGTTTTTCTCAGATTGCAAGCTATTGAACTATTATTTCAATATCTGTGATGATTTGAAGAAAATAAATAAGTAAAGAATTAAATAAATAAAAGTACTATAAAGCCAACCACTACTGCTCAGGCCAGACTTTTTGTCCCAAGATAGTCACACATTATTTATACATAATTTAATCCCTGAATAAACTGGAGTCTGCATCCGTGTCATTGTTTAAAAAAGGCGGCGTAAACTTGCTGCATATTTTCCATGACTTCAGGCAGAACCCACTGCACTACACAAGTCTCTGTGTCGACCCAAATACAAGCTCTGAGTCAATGAGCTGATACTTTACTATAAAACTACTGCTGTTTTTATCAACATAAGAAACATGATCTGGTAGTACAACAAATGTTGTCAATATAATCATTAAGTTTTAGAAACTTGCTTTGAGGCAATATCTTATTGCCACTGTTATTGATCTGTTAAATCATAAACATTACATGGAATTGATCTAAACAGAAACCCTGCTGTCTTTATCTTTTGCCCTGTGAGTCACTATTTGCCACTTTAGGCTGAGAGCTGATTGGCTGAGCGAGGGAGGTCATCTCTCTTCATATTTCAGTCTGTAAAAGAACATGTGCGTATGAAAACGAATTATGTTTTGAGAGCGAGGAACTTATTTTTAGATTATATTTTACGTTGTTCCATTGTTTGTTGTTTGAATGTTACATACCCCAGCTTTAAACGTGCATGAACTCCCATATAATCTAATAAAAAGGTTAATTGATGAAATTTTCTTCATTCAATAGCTTCCTTTTCAAATCCATTCATATTACCTCCACAAATGAACGCTGCCTGCTGCTGAATGCTTCGCTGCTTCCCTTAAGAAGCTTGTGTCTGCTGCTCCTCTGCTGTTGCCCTTTGATGCTGAAGTGTGCAGAGCTCATCAGAACGCATAAATATTGTGTTCCTTTAATACACGGTGTAGGAATCACACACTGCTCACTCAAGTGTATTGTTGTTATAGCACTGTACAGTGTTTGTAAAGTAAATATTAGCCAAATGTTTTGAATGTTACCGGCTCCAGCAACTTTGGCAAATATATGTGCACTGCTGGAGTTGCTTATTTTCTCGGCTCAGGAGGAAACGTGATCAGAGGTGTTTGTCTGTTTGTCTGTGAGCAACTTAACTAAAAGGTGATGGGAAAATATGATGTTGTGGCCAAGTGCAATGTTGTGATCCAAATCCTATTCTGGATGTATGTTTTTTTATATAAAGTAATGGAACTTTAGGCGGAGGTCTGTGATCAGTCCTTTAGTCAATTCTTTGGCCTCTAGCAGCGTAGTCCACCGGAAATTGAAATCTTACACTATTTAAAAATTTTAATTAGTTATGAAAATAAGTATGGAACAATATAGCTGAAGACCTAGAGTTGACTTTGTGATTTAAAACAAACAAAACTCTTTATTCAACAGTGTAAAAAACCATTGTGTTCATACTTATAAAGTTTTTCAGATATATTTATACATAAATATATTATACATTTTCATAAAATGTAAGATCGGTTGGTTTGGTTCAGACTCATCACTCTCAATAGCCTTTGTCCCGCCCCTTTGTTAGCCGACTACTCAGTCGACAGGGCATGTCTTTGATTGGACATCCTTTATCCATTATCCCTATACTATACTGTTTATTGTTGCTTTTACTATTGCTATTCTCAAATCCTCCAGACCACTGCTGTTACTTTGACCATAAGAATGTGCGGTAACACTTTACATTACGGGCCGGTAAGTCCATGGTACTTACAGTGGTACTTCTAGGTACTTACAGTGGTACTTCTAGGTACTTACAGTGGTACTTACGGTGGTACTTACGGTGGTACTTACGGTGGTACTTACGGTGGTACTTACGGTGGTACTTACGGTGGTACTTACGGTGGTACTTACGGTGGTGCTTACAGTGGTACTTACAGTGGTACTTACAGTGGTACTTCTAGGTACTTACAGTGGTACTTCTAGGTACTTACGGTGGTACTTACGGTGGTACTTACGGTGGTACTTACGGTGGTACTTACGGTGGTACTTACGGTGGTACTTACAGTGGTACTTACGGTGGTACTTACGGTGGTACTTACGGTGGTACTTACGGTGGTACTTACGGTGGTACTTACGGTGGTACTTACAGTGGTACTTACGGTGGTACTTACGGTGGTACTTACGGTGGTACTTACGGTGGTACTTACGGTGGTACTTACAGGGGTACTTACGGTGGTACTTACGGTGGTACTTACGGTGGTACTTACAGTGGTACTTACAGTGGTACTTACAGTGGTACTTCTAGGTACTTCTAGGTACTTACAGTGGTACTTCTAGTGGTACTTCTAGGTACTTATTGTGGTACTTACAGTGGTACTTCTAGGTACTTACAGTGGTACTTAGAGGTACTTATTGTGGTACTTACAGTGGTACTTCTAGGTACTTATTGTGATAATTCTAGATACAGCTGTAACTTAGTAATTCAAGGATACTACAGCATTATTCCTATGTAGTAAATGTGGTACTTCTACATACATACATACAGAGGTCATTTGTAGGATTGTTTGACTATAAAACATAAAACAACATTATGTAAAACAAACGTCTTTATTAATATGGAATAAGTAGCACAGAAAGGACAGTATAAATACATTTAATGCATATTTCAAAACAAGTTTCAAGGACAAGGGAAACACTGCAAGAACTAGGTACCCAACCCAAGTAACAAGAATTACACATTACCAGGTACTTACCAGCCAAGTACCAGGTACTTACCAGCAAGTACCAGGTACTTACCAGCAAGTACCAGGTACTTAACAGCAAGTACCAGGTACTTAACAGCAAGTACCAGGTACTTACCATAGGGACTGGCCCATAATAAGACAAAGGACTTTAACATAAGTACCAGTGATAACACCAGTAATTATACAGTAAGTACCAGGTACTTACCATAGGGACTGGCCCATAATAAGACAAAGGACTTTAACATAAGTACCAGTGATAACACCAGTAATTATATAGTAAGTACCAGGTACTTACCATAGGAACTGGCCCATAATAAGAAAAAGGACTTACCCATAAGTACTAGTGATACCAGTAATTATATAGTATACCATGTACTTACCAGCAAGTACCATGTACTTACCAGCAAGTACCAGGTACTTACCATAGGGACTGGCCCATAATAAGACAAAGGACTTTAACATAAGTACCAGTGATAACACCAGTAATTATACAGTGAGTACCAGGTACTTACCATAGGGACTGGCCCATAATAAGACAAAGGACTTTAACATAAGTACCAGTGATAACACCAGTAATTATATAGTAAGTACCAGGTACTTACCATAGGAACTGGCCCATAATAAGACAAAGGACTTACCCATAAGTACTAGTGATACCAGTAATTATATAGTATACCATGTACTTACCAGCAAGTACCATGTACTTACCAGCAAGTACCAGGTACTTACCAGCAAGTACCAGGTACTTACCAGCCAAGTACCAGGTACTTACCAGCAAGTACCAGGTACTTACCAGCAAGTACCAGGTACTTACCAGCCAAGTACCAGGTACTTACCAGCAAGTACCAGGTACTTAACAGCAAGTACCAGGTACTTACCAGCAAGTACCAGGTACTTACCAGCAAGTACTAGGTACTTACCAGCAAGTACAGTACTTACCAGCAAGTACAGGTACTTAACAGCAAGTACAGGTACTTACCAGGTACCAGTACTACCATAGGGATGGCCATAATAAGACAAAGGACTTTAACATAAGTACCAGTGATAACACCAGTAATTATACAGTAAGTACCAGGTACTTACCATAGGGACTGGCCCATAATAAGACAAAGGACTTTAACATAAGTACCAGTGATAACACCAGTAATTATATAGTAAGTACCAGGTACTTACCATAGGAACTGGCCCATAATAAGACAAAGGACTTACCCATAAGTACTAGTGATACCAGTAATTATATAGTATACCATGTACTTACCAGCAAGTACCTGGTACTTGCTGGTAAGTACCTGGTACTCGTTGTTAAGTACCTGGTACTTGCTGGTAAGTACCTGGTACTTGCTGGTAAGTACCTGGTACTTGCTGGTAAGTACCTGGTACTTGCTGGTAAGTACCTGGTACTTGCTGGTAAGTACATGGTATACTATATAATTACTGGTATCACTAGTACTTATGGGTAAGTCCTTTGTCTTATTATGGGCCAGTTCCTATGGTAAGTACCTGGTACTTACTATATAATTACTGGTGTTATCACTGGTACTTATGTTAAAGTCCTTTGTCTTATTATGGGCCAGTCCCTATGGTAAGTACCTGGTACTTACTGTATAATTACTGGTGTTATCACTGGTACTTATGTTAAAGTCCTTTGTCTTATTATGGGCCAGTCCCTATGGTAAGTACCTGGTACTTGCTGGTAAGTACATGGTACTTGCTGGTAAGTACATGGTATACTATATAATTACTGGTATCACTAGTACTTATGGGTAAGTCCTTTGTCTTATTATGGGCCAGTTCCTATGGTAAGTACCTGGTACTTACTATATAATTACTGGTGTTATCACTGGTACTTATGTTAAAGTCCTTTGTCTTATTATGGGCCAGTCCCTATGGTAAGTACCTGGTACTTACTGTATAATTACTGGTGTTATCACTGGTACTTATGTTAAAGTCCTTTGTCTTATTATGGGCCAGTCCCTATGGTAAGTACCTGGTACTTGCTGTTAAGTACCTGGTACTTGCTGTTAAGTACCTGGTACTTGGCTGGTACTTGTACCTGGTAATGTGTGTAATTCTTGTTACTTGGGTTGGGTACCTAGTTCTTGCAGTGTTTCCCTTGTCCTTGAAACTTGTTTTGAAATATGCATTAAATGTATTTATACTGTCCTTTCTGTGCTACTTATTCCATATTAATAAAGACGTTTGTTTTACATAATGTTGTTTTATGTTTTATAGTCAAACAATCCTACAAATGACCTCTGTATGTATGTATGTAGAAGTACCACATTTACTACATAGGAATAATACGTGTAGTGTCCTTGAATTACTAAGTTACAGCTGTATCTAGAATTATCACAATAAGTACCTAGAAGTACCACTGTAAGTACCACAATAAGTACCTCTAAGTACCACTGTAAGTACCTAGAAGTACCACTGTAAGTACCACAATAAGTACCTAGAAGTACCACTGTAAGTACCTAGAAGTACCACTGTAAATCACTGTAAGTACCACTGTAAGTACCACTGTAAGTACCACCGTAAGTACCACCGTAAGTACCCCTGTAAGTACCACCATAAGTACCACCGTAAGTACCACCGTAAGTACCACCGTAAGTACCACCGTAAGTACCACTGTAAGTACCACCGTAAGTACCACCGTAAGTACCACCGTAAGTACCACCGTAAGTACCACCGTAAGTACCACCGTAAGTACCACTGTAAGTACCACCGTAAGTACCACCGTAAGTACCACCGTAAGTACCACCGTAAGTACCACCGTAAGTACCACCGTAAGTACCACCGTAAGTACCTAGAAGTACCACTGTAAGTACCTAGAAGTACCACTGTAAGTACCACTGTAAGTACCACCGTAAGTACCACCGTAAGTACCACCGTAAGTACCACCGTAAGTACCACCGTAAGTACCACCGTAAGTACCACCGTAAGTACCACTGTAAGTACCTAGAAGTACCACTGTAAGTACCATGGACTTACCGGCCCGTAATGTAAAGTGTTACCGAATGTGCCTATACGGTAGAAAAATAACCTTAATTTAAGTGTGTGATTATACATGTTTAGACAGCACCATAAATTGTGAAGCAAATAATATGGAAATTGTAGATCATTTTATTAAGTTACTTAGGCAGATTGTGTGGTTATTGAAGCAGCGACAGATAGATCTGGGGGAATCCCTCTCTAAAGTAAATAAAACAAACCACATGTTAAACTTTGCTAGTGCATACTAACAGTTTCCATATGGCCTCCCTGCTCCGCACACACCGCCGACAGCAGAGAAGTTCCCATGTTTAACACAAGTACTCTTTAATATGACAGATGTTGATTGTTACTGTGGCCTACTGTGTTTCCTACTCAAACACACTCCATTTGGACTATTTTTAACCCCTTTTATGGCGTTCTGGTCGCAGAGAGTAAAGGTTCATTTATTGGTGGAAAATGTTTAGGGGCCTGAACACACCAAAAAGCAGGATTTTCTTGTTATTTTTCCACTGGAGCTGGTCTTCATCCACTTGCCTGTAGAGTGGTCCGCCGGAGGCAATACTTTAGAATAGTGTTTTGGATTGTTAACCCCAAATATTTGCTTTTGGAAGTCTGCTGTCTAACGGCTATTGCAATAAGTTGTTCCTAATGGTGGTTAAATCTGAAATGTTTTCATGTGGAAAATGGTGAATGGATTAAGTATAATAATATCATTGGAAAGGGATGGGTCTTTATGTTACTGGTTTTACAGGAATGTTCCACAGTTTGGTATTGAAATAGAGAGAAATGGATATGTATTTATTCGTCTCCCTCTTTCACTAATTTACTTATAATGAAGAAGAGAATTATGATGCAGACATCTCTATAGGTTTTATTCATGTGGTACAGGAGCCAATACAACTCCATAGAAAAGCAGCATTTCTATAAAGAATTGTTGAAAAAGAATATGTCCAACTGTTTTCCCAAATCATTGTTTGATAGTAATCAGATTCACAAACCTGCCATATTATTCTTATGTCTGAAAGTGCTTTCTACTAGCCATTTATTTTCACCGCTTTTAAGTAAATATGGTAAATATGTACACACAAAGCAGATGTGTAACTGTGTGATTATTACTTCCTGTGGATTGACCGCTGAAAATAAAGCCATAGTTAGCTTTTTACTATAGGCTCTTTGGAATGCTGTGATGTCACATGAACTCGACCTATTTGAAAAAGTTGAGCACCGTACAGCCCCAAAACATTCACAATACTTTGTTTAAAACCACTTTCTTCTTTTCATTACCAATCCTTTTTGTTAGAATCATGCAGCCAGACCTCACATAAACCAAACCATCTCTGTCCATCAGCGGGACACAGTGTGATCTCAGGTCTGTGCAGCGGTGTCTATGCAAAAGCGGACGTGTCAGAGTGAGACATCAAAAACACGGTGTTGCTATAGTGGATTTGTGGGAGGCTGGCGCTGAGCGGGAGAGAAATGTAGTGAGCAGTGTGTTCTCTGTGGAAAAACCTGTGTGTTGGATTGGCCGCGACAGATTGAGGTTAACGTTTGGCTTTGGGAAGCTCACCAAGAATATGATAAAACAACGAGAGGAGCCTTTTAAAGTTTAAAGAAGGCGAAGTCAAGGGAAAAGCAGCAACTGATTTGTGTGGGGAGGAGACTGAAACAACACACAAATAGCGATACCTTCAAAAGAGCATTTACCTAGATATGTAGTGCAATGTTGTTGTTGTTTTTTTTGTTTATTCATTGGGTTTTTTAGTTTCTCCTTTGCCGATGCAGGAGGGTCTAATGACACTCATGGTCTGGGATATTTATGGACATTGGTTAAAGGGTAGGTCTGTTACTTTTTTTTTCATTTCACAATTTTTCTAACACCATTCCTGTTAGACCCGCCCCCACAGCTTCTTGATTGGACGCAATGTATTCAAATCCTTGATAGACAGCTGAAGCCACTCACCATTGGGCTATCTTTTCTCCTCCAGTAAATGTTACTGGTGGTTTTGCCCGCAGGAGGGACTGCTTTGAATACAGTTATCATGAAAAATACCTGATTTAATTGATACTTCAAAATCATATGGTCAAAAAAAGTCCTACTGGGGGGTACATAGACCCTGAGAGGAACTACACGGCGTGCCTGAAATTATTTAAAAAGTATATACATAAATGAGAACAATACAGAAAAATATTTGCTCTTATGATATCATGTAAACTCCAATTCCAATGTAAAATTCATATTATTCAGTGCAATCAGTCAAATAGATAATAACTTATTTATGAAATGTATTTGTTTATTCAAGCTGGACAATAGTTATAAAAAGGCCACATTCAGCCATAGTCATGTTTTGAGTTTTAAGTAGTGTTTTACAATGTGGGAGGCAATACTTACAAGTAAATGATTGTTTTTTTTAAAGTTCACAAAAGCCATAGAAATCTATTCCTGAAAATAGGGCATTGTGCTGCAGTCGCTTCAATGCCGCAATGGAACAACTCTGCACCAGTAGCAGTTTGAACAGTTTCCTTTCTATTGCCTGAATTATCCTCTGACGGCGCTCACAAACACGGATAATTAGACTCTTTTTGTGGTGCTTCTCATTTGCTTAATGCTGTTACGTAATCTCCAGTCTGGGCAAACACAGCCGCGGTGCACCTTTCAGTTCTGAGAGGCTTTAATCTGAAGGTAAATCGCTGCTGTTTGGTTCTTGTCTTTACTCTTCTCTAATTTGCTTTCTCCTTCTGTCCATCCATCGTCAATCGCAGATCACGTCCGGAGATTCCAGCCTCTTAAGATATTTGCAAACTTTTACTTTGATTTATTATATTAGTGGAAATTAACTATCTTATTAATTAGAAGTCAGTCCAGTAAATCCTTATATATCTAGTCCGTCTCACTTGAAATTGTTGCAAAGATGACTCATGTAAGCATAAAGAATATTACGACCTATAAAAAGTAAGTATGTACTCAACTGGTTTATCTACCACTAGGGCGGCACAGTTGCTGAGTAGTTACTGCTCATTTCTCCGTAATAAATTCCTGGATTCTAATCTGAGTCGAGTTCTCCCTGTTTGCATAGGTTTCCTCCGTGTGCTCCGGTTTCCCCTACCACTAAAAACATGTGCAAATAGTCTCTGTAAACAATCCCACTGGTCTGGGGCCAAGACTACCTAGAAAAAGAGATTCTGAAGTCTCAGTGGTGCTGTCCTGATTAAATTAAGATAAGTTATTTCAAAATATAATCATTTTAACAATTATTATGCATCTACTTCAAAACATTCCACAGAATTGTAATATTACACAATCGAAATATTGTGCAGTTGAGAAAATTCAAAACACTGACAATCTAGGTTTAAAAGGGCATAAAAAATACACACCAAGTCTGTCGATGAGAGCAAAAACGAATAGAAAAAATACATTGCCAGGCGAGCCGTGTAGTATCATGACAAAATCTTATCTTTCATTTTCACGGGGCCTCGTTGCGCCTCGTCTCCTCTGATGTTGTGAGAATTGTGTTGCATCCAGTGTAAACAGTGTCGTCCTTTGTGTTGACCCACCACAGTGTAAACAGCTCATGTGATGCTTTAACAGACTCTTCAGGATGTGTCTCATGTGAGAGTTTCCCACAGTCTGCCTCCCTCACCTCTCCTTCTGACTGCTGAGCTGCCAAACACTTTCCCTATTCACTTCTGTTTGCGTCTGCTGCTTCTGAATTTCATTGTGTTTTCCTATTCTCTATTCTGAACTTGTTGACATCACTCAATCTTGACTAATAACCTTTTTTGTTTTTTTTACTTGTTATTATTATAATTTTGTGTATCTCATCTTTTCCTTTGCATTATAATTGTTACCTTGTTATGTTTTTGAATTATGACATTTTGACCAATCGAACTCTAAAGGCAAAAACTCCGATATAAAGTTATAGAAGAAAAAAAATGGCTAAACGTTTCTGGAAGATTAAGATCTGTATTCGTCCCACAGTGAACAATAACTCTATATTAGAATAAAATGAAATCTGTAACTTTAGCATAATACATAAGAAAGTATAAAATCTCTTGCTTTAGCGTAATAAAGAAGCAAGTCTAAAATCTTCAACTTCAGCAAAATAAAGAAGCAAGAATTAAGTTCTGTTAACTTAAACTATAAAACTGTGTTGAAATGACCGCTTTTTTATGTACTCGAAAAGATAACCTTTGTCCTTTAGTGTTCCATATGTCACATTTAGTATGACTCATTTATGAATAATATATGAATATTCTCTTAGATTTGTGTCTGTCAGTCTTTCCTAAGGCGGCACTCTCTCTCACCCTGGTAAATGTCAAAAGAACTGTTTATACTGTATGTCCTACTGTAAATACTGCTGTTTATCATGGCTCCCATCCTGCTCAGGTCACCATCAGGTCATCTGAAAAGACTTTTTAGCCCTTGATATTGACATTAAGGAAGTAAGTAATCTATATTTATATGGTCACAAAGCGCTTTACACAGAGATGGGACATTATCTTGCCACTTTACCTCCTTTTGCACTTACATGAGATTAATGAGAATTATTTTAAAACGTTCCATGTTTGAAATAGCTTTATTTTGTCGGTTTCCAAGTTAATCCCTGCACAAACCGTGCGACAAACGGTGTGGATCTGGATCTTCTCCGGCTCTGGTCTGGATTAAAACCGCAGTCCAACTTCTGTATGGTGTTTGATTCATAAAACATATATTTAAACTTTCTGTGGGGTTCAGCCACCTGCTTTTTGCCGTGTTGTTGTTCATGCTTTGGTTGGAATGAGCCTCAGTGTTAGTCATTTAATCTCCTTATATTTGACTCTAAATTTAGGCTT